AAATTAAGCATCCAGCAGCAGTGATGGAACAAGTCTCTGATGATAAAAGCATTGTTAGTAATAAAAATAATACACCAAAGTCCAAAAAATCAAAGAAAAGTACTTCTTCTGAATCAACTGGATTTGGGAAAAAAATAAGGGGCAGTGCTTCAGGGTCTTCAAAAGACCTCCAAATGACTTCAGACACACCAAGCCACACAGGATCAGAGAAAAAGACTAGCTCAGCAGAAAGTGATAGACGTGAACACAAAGCTGTAAGAGACAAAAATAAGAAGACAAAAACATTTGAAAGTTCTCCAAAGATTAGAAACTTTAATCTCAATACTGGGAATCAAAGTCGGTCAGATAAAGATCTCAAGTTAAAAGATAAAACCATCAAAGACATTTCCCACAAAGTAAACACAAAGGACCATGACTCTCAGCAGCCTAAATTAAAGAAGAATACTTTAGACATTAAATCGCCAGCCCATCCAGCTTCCCCAATAAAGAGGCTACCGAAACAAAGGTCAATGAATGGTGTCAGATCAAAATCCTCTAAAGAAAAACAGGAGTTGAGTGAAAGTGTGTCATTGCCTGTGCTACAATTGTCTTCTACCAGTGTAAATCAATATGTTGATTTACATATCAATAAGCTGGCTAAATAAAATTGAACCAGAATCTGTGCCCTATGATGATGAAACAAACCATCCAGAGGTTGTACCAAGAGCAGTATTCCAGATAGGGAGTGACTCCACTGATGGCTCTATTATTAAAAGTGACCCTGAAAAAGATAGCGTAGCTGTTGAAGGCCCTTCTCTAGAAGATAATGCTGACGAGAGGCCAACATCTCGCCCACCTGTACAAATAAGGTGTGAGGGAGAGCCAACCGAGCCACAGAGGCCGATAGAATTTTGTAAATCGATGCCAATTTTGAGGGTACATTCTGAACAGGAGGGTCTTGTAAGAATGCACAAGTCATCTGAGAACTTGGTTCCACCCGACCCTTCTAAGACATCACAAAGTACAGAGGTCAAAGTTAGGTCAGGCATGAAACCGGTTGTGCAACAGTTGTGTTTGTCTGTTCAGTCCATCAAGCGGGCGTTTAGTCAGACCCTCTTAACACCTTTGGAAAGAGAAAAGTCCAGTAGTCTCCCGGATTTTCCCTCTCAGGTGGCCTCTGCCTTTGGTTCTCCCTCGAGAGCTCTTCTGTCTTTCTTGACACTGATGACTCTGAGAGATGGACTTTCAGTTCTCTACAAAGATGATTCACAAGCCAGCAACTCTAATGTGTGTCCAGAGGCCCTGCAGGTAATGCAGTCCTTGGAAAAAATATCCAATATTAAAGATGAAGACGAGCTAAAGGCCAGCTTGACCAGTCTTCAAAGTTCAACTTCATCCCAATTAAAACAAAGCTGGAGAGATTTCCAAGAGCAAAATGTCTTTGAAGATAGTCCGCCGCTGTCACCAAGATTCTCAGAGCAGGAGTTTGCTGTAGAAGTGGACTTAGAAGGAGAAACGGAAAATCAGGACAAACAGCAAAGTTTTTGTATAGAACAGTTACTGGATGAACTGAACATGCCTAAAGATCTTCACAGAGAGATTTCCTCTCTTGTTGAAGGAGAACTAAAGTATTTTAATCAAGCAGACTTAATCAACCATGATGATGCCACCAGTGAAATCTCGGGTAAAGAAAAGGAAAATGAAGATGGCTCCTTAAGTGGTAGTTTTGAGAAAGCTGCTGACATGGAAGAGGAAAAGGAGAATATCGGCCAAGATAATGGCAAAACCAATGATGACATAACAAATGATCCAATGGAACCAGAATCTCAGGAACTGTGTTTAATTCAAGCTCATTCCTCTGACTCAGAAACTATAGAAGATTCTGGTATAGCAGTGCCCAATCAATCACCTGAGGTTAATGGTAGAGATTCAAGTAAAGCAGAGGTTTTAGAAACATCTGATAACAACCAGATGAATGCAGAGAACATGCAAGAAAGGGTAATGTATGAAGACTCAGAATCTGAAAACAACGATGGTGAAGGAAATCGTTCTCCAACATCAGAACAAGAGATGACAGATGTAGCTGTAGAAGAAGTTTCTGAGCTCTCTGATCACCAAGACAATATGTCTGGAAGCGAGGACAATGTAACGCCAGAGATTATAGAACAACGAAACACTGATGTTGAGGAGGAGGACACCATTCAGAACATCAGGGTAGCTAGCGAACAATCAGATGCTTCAGAACCCGACGACACAAATGCCAAACGCTCATGTTCAGCATTAGAAACTGAGTGTGTGCCATTTTTAGACAGAGAGGCAACTGAGCTAAATGAGGACAATCAATACAGTACAGTTGAGGACTGCGTCAGAGAGGAAGCTGATCTTTCTGATTTTGAGGAAATGATTAGTGATGGAGGACATGAACAAGAAAACAAGTCCATCTTATCAGAATGTAAGTCCATTCACTCAGAGCCCTCAGAGACATCTTCGCCTCATCATGATACAGAGGGTGAATGTAGAGAGCAAACATTAGAATCATCCAGCCAAGAAGATGATTGGGTGATGTCTCCAGATGTCAAAGATGCAGATCAACGAGAAGATGTGTCAGAGGTCTCAGAAGGTGAGGATCCTGATCCACACTGCAACAGCAGCCCTCAATATGTTAGTAATGATGAAAATGGTATGACTCCTGAAGCTGAATATGAGAAAATGCAGCAAATTGAAAATGGGCTTGTGGAAGAACTCAACATTAATGAGGTGGACCATGAGAGCTATGAAGTTTATAGAGTAGATCCAGATGCTGAACCAGACTCCTGTAAAATCTCTGATCATGAGGCTGTGGATGAGGATGGGACAGAAACAAAGCCAAACACAAGTGATTCCGAACACTGCGAAGTTCAGACATTAGAGGAAGGTAGTCTCACTAAAAAGGACAGTTCTGCTGAAGAATGTGATGTAGAAGAGGAAGACTATGTAGGTTTGCTTGATTCTCATAATAGCGTGAATGGTGTTAGACACTTGTGTACTGACACTAAAGATTCTGTGGAAGGGGAGTCATGCAGCAGTATGCAGAGTACAAGTGAGCACCAGTTTGATAAAGCTTTGGGTATGGAACATGGCTATCATTATCTACTACATTCAACTGAGATCTCACAAGAGCTGTTAGACTTAATTAATTCGGCTTTGTTGTCCTCTACCCTGACTGTCACATGTGATTCAAATGGCAACCTCAGAATAGAGCCAGACAAATGCAAAATGAGGGAGATGTTTATGGCTTGCCAAAGGACAGATGATCAGTACGGTCAAAAATGTCTCCCGAGCCCGAATACATCAGATCTGTCTGATTACAGGCCTGAGACATCCGACAATGGTGGGTACCAATCGCAGGAGCTTTTTACGGAGAGCGGAGAAGAGGAGGCGGAGAGGTTACGTATTTTTCGAGAAATCATAAAACAAAGTTCAGAGAAGCCAAAAAGAATAAACCATGTAAACGAGAACGGCTTGATGAAATCGTCTACATTGATGACAACAAAACCTATTCCCAGTCCAAGTTTAAAAAGCAGCAGTCTTGCTTCTTTTCAGGATACTAAAAGCGCAATCCAAGAGACACTGTCCCACAGTAGATCACCAAGCAATAAAAGTTCACTTGACGGAGACTCTGAGTCGGTACAGTGCATGGCTTTAAAAGATAATGTGGACTCTGGAGAGGGAGTGCTGATTGATAAAGGCAGGTGGCTTCTCAAGGAAAACCACCTTATCCGTAACTCTCCTCCTGCAACTATGGGAATGTATGGAAATGCAGATATCACATCAGCTGACACGGCTCAGGACAACAGGAGTGAGTTTTCAGCCTACCCATATTGTGAGAACCAAGCCTCGCCTCTGGCTGTAATATCCTCTTCTGAGATGGAGGACATGGCTAAACCCCCTACACCAAAATGTATGTACTTCAATATGTCACATAGCAGTGACTCTGATCCTCTCTTGGATGCCCAAAGTGTCAATAATGGCAGCAGTGGAGGGAACGCTAGGAGAAACAAGGAACTTAAGGTATCTCCAATGGGTGAGTCTTCTAAAATGTGGGCAAAGAAAAATGGAAGTATGTCTTCATTCGCATCTGTTGAATTCAAACTCCCTGATGGGAAAGTTCATCCTCAGGAGGGGTTGCGATCTGGTACTAACAGATCTCAGAGTCAAGACAGTCGGAGAGTACAAGAGGAGGAGTCGAGGGAGGGTCTAAATCTCAGGTGTGGGCAACACTGCCCAATACTATAGTTCAAAAGGGAAAACGAACCAGCTACAAGCACTTCTATTTAAGGTATTATCTGATTTAATTTATTTGTAGTAGCTTATTTGCTTAAACTGTTTGAACAGCACAATGTAAAGGCATACAGTCTTTAACTGCAGTGAAACAACTTTAATTTCCTCACTTTGGTGCCTGCTGGTCTTTAAGCTTTCAGTTTTTAACAGTTTTGGGTTATTTCATGTATTTTCATTTCACAGAGGCTATATTGCACAACTCATCTGATTTACTTGAACTTATTGAACTTCCTAAGTGGTATTTCTCATAGAGAAAAAAGAAATGAACTTAATTGTTGCATTTGCTTCCTAATGTAATCTCTTATTTGAATGGTGAATAATTTACAATGAATAATTGAATAATTTTTTTCTTAGGTCACATGAAACACTGACAAACACAATAGATCCATGGGTAAACCCATTTGGCAGTATGTTATCTGTTAAACTGAAAATATTTGTTATTTCAATTGGTTGATTATTTTGAGTTTTTTAGTGTCTACAGTTTACATTTAATAAAATGCAGTTTTTAATGCAGTATTAATATCATAGCATAATATCCTGGGGAAGAGCGCAATGTAAAAATCTGATGTACAGAAATCAATAAGTGTAACACAGGCAGCTGTCATCATTATCACATTAAATGTGATTCTTTTTATTGTGCTGATATCAAATAAAATTGCATCACCTCTACAAATGATCTATTTTATTAAACTGGTTAGATTAATTGATTTATATAGGTGTTATATACTTACTTCCTTCAGCACAAAAGTTGTTGTTTAATACACATGCAGACATTTTCCTCCACTGATTTACATAATTAAAACTCACAGATAAAAAAAAAAATCAGAGAAATCAACAAAGCAAAAAGACAGACAGCTCCTGGATCTGGACAAATTAGCTTAGTTCCCAAAACACTGTTGTTAAGCAGTGTGGGGTTTAAGGAAATATTGCCTGTGGAAGGTCAACCAGCTGAAATTGACTTTATTTCCAGTGTATGGGAATTGTTACATGCTCACCGTATAATGTAATTGCCTATATCAGAGCCTAGACCACTGTGGCCGATGGATTTGGTAATGCAAATGGAGATTTAGTGAATGAAAAAAAGAAAAAAAAAAAAGAAAATAATTATTCTAAATAGAAATATTGTTTGACATCTAACTTTGAAAAAAAAAAAAGAAAGAAATATTTGTTGATGAGGTTTGTGTCATGACTTTTTTCTTGGGTGTTCATGTTGGAATTAATTGCAAATAACAATAAGTAATACAAGTTGGGTATTTCATGATGGGTATACTGAATTGTCCATGGAAAACATTGCGTTCAGTTCCATACTATTTCCAGCATTTTGCAGCTGAGCTCCCAAAGTTTCTCAGCCATTTCATCATCTCTAGCAGCTCTGGTGCATCTTGACGGTCTGCAGTTGCTTTAGAAAATGGGAAAGGAATAGACAGAAAAAACAATTCATTATGGGTTCCAGTCAGTTTATACGTGTTGCCTCTGGAACTGTATTTAATGCAGTATGACACAATTCAATACCTGTAGTAAGCACCACTCTCTTTGTCTAATTCTGGTTGTACTGCACAGTAGATGGTAGTTTGTGCTCCCTGCACTGGGGTCTTTGTGAAAGGTCTGACAACCTTCCACATGATTAGAAGTCCGAGATTCATATGTCTTTTAAGTTCTGTCTGCACAATTCCTGGATGGACTGCATATGCCGTAACACCTGTGTCTGAAGATACAATTAATGATACGCAAAAGTATGCCAAAATGTCCCATTTATTTAACCTTCCATATTTTTAAAGATCACTTACCCTTGAGTTTTTTGGCCAAGGAGCGAGTGAAAAGGATACTGGCCAATTTACTCTGACCATATGCCCTCCTACTGTGGTAATTCCTCTCACTATTGATATCATCAAGTGCTATTGTGCCCCAACTATGAGCCATGGAGGAAAGGTTGATGATTCTTGAGGGGGCAGATCTCTTCAGCAGATCAATCAGCAGGAAGGTTAACAGGAAGTGACCTAATTGTGTCACTTATGTCAATTACGTCACTTACATACAAGTTTATGTAATAGTACAAAAACACGATTCATATACCATAAGTCTGCACCATTAAACATGCAGCAAGTCAAGATATTAAGCAAAGATAAAGATATGTAAAGGAATATTATTGTTAAAATATGCATTATATGTTAAAAGAGGCATCAAAGAAGAGGTCTGTGACACACTGCGCTTGAATGAATAACACATGAAAAACACTTTACCTAAGTGGTTGACACCAAACTGCATCTCAAAACCATCTGCTGTCTTAGAGTAGGGACACATCATGATCCCAGCATTGTTAATGAGTATGTGAAGTGCTCTCTCCTCTGTAAACAAGAGGGTTTTAATAATTGTTTTGGTCTGTTGTAGGAGGCACATTGGTATTTTTGAGTAAATTACTTCAAGTTAAAACATTTTTTGGATCAATTACACATTCAGATTTGGATGTAAAACTCTTTTATTAATCACTTACCATTGTTGATTACCTCAGCAAATTCTCTGATTGATTTGGTGTCAGATAAGTCTAGATTCCTGATCACTATGTTTTGGTTCCCTGAGTCCTCCATGATCTCTTTATGTGCTCTTTCTGCTTTCTCAAGGTCTCTGCAAGCCATTATTATCCTGGCCCCTGTGGAACAACTCCAAAAACCATGACTTTTATAATTGGTATCCTAAATAAATTTGTGTAACATACATTTCATGTTTTTTTTTTTTTGTTTTAGTTAGTTTCAATCTGATTTACATTACAAAGGCTGGTAACTGCACACAAGAATAAGATAAATGTGATACCGCGTTTTGCCAGGTCTCTTGCGGTTTCTTTTCCAATGCCAGTATTTGCTCCAGTTATAATGACTGTTCTGCCATCGAGTCGAGTGCTAGATGACCACTGGCCACCGAACATTTCTCTGAGCAAATGCATCATAAATGTAAGTTAAAGGAACAGTGCACAAATTACAGACTTTTCATTTTCAGGCGAACTTCCTTTAACAGTCATTTCTTAAAGGGGTCCTATTATGCATTTTCACTTTTTCAACTTTAGTTAGTCTGTAATGTTGCTGTTTGAGCATAAAAAACATCTGCAAAGTTTCAACGTTCAAAAGACTGGGGAGAGAGATGTTGCAATAATGTAAAATATGTGAAAAATAATGTTTTTCGAGCAACCTAGTATGAGAGCCTGTTCTAGTACACCCCCAAAACAAAATCAAGACTTTGTAAAAGAGCATAATAGGACCCCTTTAACAAAAGAGATACAACAAATGGGCCAGGCCTTTTACAATGTACACATGTCCATTGAAACATAACCTCCATGGTGCACAAGAAAAGGGAATTAATCTCTTAAAATAAGAGAATGAGTAAATAAATCAATAAAAAAACAGTACATAAACAGTGGCAGATCTAAACTATCTGGAGTTTGTACAATACTCATGATATAAAATATGTCTGAACCAAACTAAAACTAAAATATGAATTACTGTAGCAGCAATAAATAAAAGTTGTGCGATAGCATAATAAATATCTTCTTTTATGAAATTTTAGTAATGTCAGTTTAGTCAAAACAGAAATTATAAACCTACCTCAGAGTGTATATGTTGGACATCTTGCTTAATGCAAAGATTCTCTAAAGACAACACATGACTTCCCTCTGGAGTTGTTAGTAGATACTGCACATAAAGACTGCACATTGTTTAATGTGAGCAGGGGCGTGTCTACGTGGTGGCCAGGGGTGGTACCGGCCCCCCCTGAAATTTGGCTGGCCACCCCAGGTGCCCCCCCTACCAGATGTCATTGGTGTGGATTAGAAATCGAACAGACTAATCCACAGCTAATCGGTTTAAAGCACTAGAGACAGATCTACTGTTAATTCAGCGTGAATGCATTCCTCGTGGATTCTGGAAACTTGCTGCAGGTGTTTAACCTGAATAACCTAAAAATATACATACACATTTAAAGGTGCCATAGAATGCATTGATACAATATTTTAAATTGTTCTCTGATATCTACATAGAAGGTATGTGGCTTAGGTAAGGGCAAAAATTCTCCAGAAACGGTTTTACATGTCCATTTGCAACCCTAGGATTACCTTATTTGGAAGGGTCATGGATAATAATATTGAGCTCTGATCTGATTGTTTCACAGCGGCTCCTGTCCGGTGTGAACGATGGAGAGATTAGGCATCCAACCGTATATGTTTGAGCCTGTATCAGACAAAGATACAGATTTTGCAAGAATGTTTAGCGTCCGTGGTATGAACATGACCACTGCGAGACGCTGGCGGAGTGAACGAGGCTTGGGAGAGAGGTGTGAGTGAGGGCGCGGACGCAGCCTTTGTTGCCAGATCCAGCTGTTATAAGCGTTTTTGGACTTGTCTTTTCCACTTTTTTTTTACCCTTTAGAAAGTTAATAAAGTAGGACGTTGCAGTTTAGGGTCAGCGATATCTTTATCTTATCTTAATTGCAAAAGATTTGAAATAATTTCGGTTTATTTGTATTTATTTATCGGGTTTTGTTTGTTTTAATAGCAATAGCTGGCAACACTGCATCGATGATTCGGCTGTGCAGGTCAGGTGTTACGAGATTTTTGGTTTCCGAGATTTTCGGTTTCAGTGGGCGGAGCATACATGAATATTCATGAGTTGCCCGGACATGCGCGTGGAACTGAGTGAGAATTTCAGCACACACTCCTTGTATCTCAGCAGGTTTAATGGAATTTTTAAAAAAAAGAAAAAGGTAAATATATTTACAGTGTTGCACAAACTACATTTGTTTATCATTTCGTAACAGTTTATAATGTTTTTATTCGTTTACAGTGCACGTTTTGTGCAGTCGTCCCTGACTGAATGATTGCAGGCATTCTTTTTGTAATGTTAGGATAAAGCACAGCAAACTTCAGCTAGTTGTAGCCTATACATTGATTTCAGTTCTTTGTGCTCTTCATTTGTAGCTTGCGATGCTTTAAAACTGTGTCTGTTATTAGTTGTTATCATTTGTTGAATACATCACTGCCTGCAACAAATGAAATAAACCTATATAAACGTATCTGTGGACATTTAGGCCTATGTATATCTTTTTGTATACTGGTGTGTGATGATCCAGGTCTTAACTTACCCCGTTCAACATTCTCCATGTTGTCTGGTTGTGAATTGTCTGCTGTCTGGTTGTAAACTATGATACAATCATACACTGCTGCAAAAACATGTTGCTGAAATTTCTTTCTTTTTTTCATGTTTCCAATGTAAAATATTTAAACATGTTTACAAACAAATGTAAATTTACAAATTAAGATTAACACAAGGTTTATGGTTCCATTTGCACAGTGAAACCAAAAATCCCAGAACACCTGGATGATTACAGCTGGTTTCTAATAGTAGCACAGATCCAACTACCATTTCATTTATTTATTTCTATGCTCTTCTGTTACCTTTTAAGTTTTGAAACTGTCATCTTCTGGCAATGAATGAAATAACATTCACCACCATATCAGTGGCCTAATAAACATTTTGCAACCTACACTGATGTTATTCTGTGTCATCTGTTCTTTGACCATGTGTTGCACTGTACCTGGATGATACACGATGATCATTGATACAAATGCATGGTCTATTTTGATGCACAACAAACACTCATGCAACATTATTTATAGGCTAAGTCATAAAGTTTCACAAACATATATA